GAAGGTAATGATGCTTTATCATCAGCACTACGAAAATGCATCATCATCATCTAATAAATTGCATATCAACAGAGTTTTACTAAATGCAAAAAAGTCTATTAATGATATTCTCATCAATTTTCTATTTTTATTGAAAATTTTGTAAAAAGAAAAAAGAAAAAAGGTGAATAAAAGGTCAGATTTGTTGAAAAACAAGAGCTAAAACAAAAAACATGAATATATTTCATATAAGTAATATGAAATGTTTTGATAGAACTTTTTTTAGAGCAAAAATTCTTTGCATTTTAATTATGAAAGTTAAAAAATAATAATAATTTGACCTTTACACTATTTTTACTAATAATAATTTGATTCAAAAAAGGACTAAAATCTCGAGGAAATACACATAAACGTAAATATATTTCAAATATAAAATATAAAATATTTTTGGAACCTTTTTCATTTGCTTAAGGAAAAAAATATGTGTATGCTTGCGTATATTTCGCGTGTGTATGCGCGCTTGTATCTGCACGTATCTGTGAATGTATGCATGTGTTGTGCGTGTGTGTCTATGTATTTATGTATGCGTGTGCGTGTATCTACACGGCTTTGTTTCAATCATTCATTTACGATATATGGAAAATAGATGAAAGGTAATTAGCATATTTGTGCAAACGTTTCAAGGTCTTATGCTGAAATTCCACCTCAAATACTTGTTAATAAAGCCACGTCAAATGTATTACTTCCTATTCTGTGTTAGCAATTAAGTCAATAATTTCAATTAAATAATATTAAGTAAATTTTTCAACAAAAAAAAGAAATGATTGTTTGATCAGTATTTTCTTTCAACTAAACTATGTACTGTATATTATTGTACATTGAATTGTTTGCTATTTATTGCTAGCAAATGCTGCAAAATATCTTGTTGTCTTACTTTTGCTTCATGTCTAATATTTATTATTGTAATAATTTTTTCACTAATATTAAATATATTTATGCCAACCGCAAAGTTCACTTTATAATCTTCTATTTACAAACTTACTTTGACTAATATAATTATTATCGAATATGGACAAAAATTGCTGAAACATATTTAGTGCTCGCATTGTCTTTTTAAAAATAATGTAGTATGCACGTTTTGCTTTTTAAATAAGTAATTGAAAACAAAATTTCGATTGTGTTTAAATTTTGCATGTCATTTCTGCAGTATTTGTGATTATTAGCTGATACTTAAAATCAAGCAAGCAATTATGTAAAAATTTTATTGAGCTTTTTGCATTGACTTCAATTGCACATCGTACTTTGCTCCCTGTAACTCATCAGTTCTTACGCTTTGCTAATGAATAATTATAATTTAAACGCATTTTTACGCTAAACGTGAATGAGAAATTTTCTACGTTTGAGAAAGACTCGCTTCTTCTTCTAAAAGCTTATTACTTTTTTAGAGATATATAGCAGTCTAGCAGCAAAAGTAAATCTCAAAAGCAGTCAACGAAAAAAACTATTGCGGTTTATATGAGAATACAATTAAAAGTAGTACCTTAAAGAAGGAACTTAATTAAAAATTAACTTATTAAACGTGTATACTACGTATAAACTTTATTTGCTTTATTACACACAGTGAAAATGAAAGTATTTATTATCATTTTTGACTTCAGTAAAGACTGAAAATACTTTTGCAAAGAGAAAAATCGGCAATAGAGAAAAAGCATGTGGAAAATTGTGAAGCTCAGAACGTGAAAGCAAATTAATAATAGCAAGTAATTTAGAAAAAAAGCATAAAAAGATGTAAAAAAATGAAGCAGCGAGGTAGATAGCATTTTGTTTGAAGAAAGAAGGCAATTCTGGACGTAACGAAAAATATAACTAAAGCAGTGATGTGTGAAGCACTTTGTTTATTTGGTTCTGAACTAATATTTAGTAAATCAGTGATAGATAGATAGATCAGTATTTATAGGTCAGATCAGATACCATGGTGAGTAAATTGTTTGGTATTGGATTCGGTACTTTTAGTCAAATTTTTACTTAATAAGGTTCTTATTAATTTATAATAGTAATATTAAAGTACATTCTTTCATGCATACACAGCTTTTGATTTAATGGTGATGATGGAAATGATAATAGCTTTAATATTAGTAATGGAAATAGTTTGTACTTGACCTCTGATTTGTATTTAATTACTGATATGTACTTGACCTTCGATTTATTTTTAATTTTATATAATTTTTACTGATATTTCCTATTTTTTCTTCAATTACTAGCACTTGTTGTAACTCCATAATTTTAGAATTAAAAGTGAATAATCGAGAAAAAAATGTGTGTTACATTTTTATACCTAGATGATAAAATGATAGATAACCCTGAAGGTTATCAATTAATTTTGTTGAACAATCGCGATGAATTCTTTGACCGACCAACAACACTAGCTGCTTGGCAAGATAATATTCTTTGTGGTGAAAAATACTACTATTATTGTTTTTATGAATTTTTCATATTTTAGTTTTTATATATTACTATTATTATTAGTAGTAGTATGTATTTTACTTTGGAGATTGAATTCTAATTACTTTGTAAATTACAAATTTGTAATCTTAAATTGCAAAATTGTTTACAAAAAGTTAGCAATTAATAATAATTAATACTACGTCTACCAATTATACCTTAATGAATAGTCAACATTTTTGGTAGTTTTTAGGAAAATGCTAATTATTGTAGGTCTTGATCGAAAAAATGATTACGGTGGAACGTGGTTAGGTATCGACAAAAGTGGTCGTATAGGAAATATCCTTGCTGTGCTTGAAAATGAAACGGATAAAACGTCTAGGGCTCCGAGTCGTGGTTTGTACTTAATATTTTATACAATTGTTTCAATTTTGATAATTCTTTACAAAATCAAATTTGTAATTCTTAAATAAATATGATAAATTTAGAAGCTCTTTCAGTAAAATTATAGTTAAAATGGCTTATAATTATATGAAAGTATACTAGGTAAAATAGTGCGCGAATATATAAAATCGAATTTATCACCAGAAGATTATTTCATGCAACAGTTATCTGATGAAGCACAGCAGTATTGTGGTTTCAACTTGTTTCTCCTTGATCGGTATGAGACTAAAATTTTGCTTGCTAATAATTTCAAATTTTTAACTGCCATATTTATATGTGACTAATTTTTATTGTTACTTATAAATTAGTCGAGTAATAGATTTTTGTAAAAAATGTGCGTGAACTTTTTACTTATTAAATTGTGGCTTATATTTACAAATTTACTGAAACATTTTTCGCTCACGAAATTTCATATTTAATGTTAAACAGTACTAAATTTGAAACTTTGAACTGCAATAAATTATAATCAATTTTTTAATTTAAGAAAAATAAGCTGTTTTTTATATTTATATATAAATATTTTTATATTATTTTTTTATTATTTATTAAATTAGCTTTTAAAAATATAAGTAAGAATCATTATGCTTAAAAAAACTGACAGTTGTCAATCAGTTCATCAGTTCCAATGCTAAAAGTTTAATACTTCTCATTTTTGATTATTATAAAAGTTTTTTTTTTTTTTAAAAATATGTGAATTACGTAAAGTAAGTATGTAAGTATGCAGATTATGCAGTGATTGTGATTGTGTGTGAGTATGCAGTAAGTATGCAGATTTCATTTAAGATCATTTTAATTATGCATAAAAAAACTAAGCAGATTTCAAAGTTAATTAATTCAAAAAGTAGAGGAGCCCATTAAAGTTATTTTGTAGAAAAAGCTTATCAGACACAATAAATTTGGTATAATAATTAGTATTTTTGCTACCATTATAATACCTGAACTATTGTAATTTTAGGCAGCATAACAAGAGCACTGGGCAAAAATCGTATTCTGGAATTTACTTTTCAAATCGAGATAACAGTTCAGCTGTTAACTTTGGTACAGGTCAGTATATTTGTGAATAAACTAAAAATTGTTTTCGTGCATACAAATGTTAATTTTGTGTAACTTTCAAAAATATATACAAAAACATGGTTTTATAAAACTTTATTGCATAGAGTTACTACAATTAATTAATTAAATTACATTATTAAAAATGCGTGTTGAAAACCTGAAAAAAAAAATAGCTAAATGAATAAATTAATATTTTGTAAGTAATGAAATTTAGTTTTCTTGAAATTTTTGGTATTAAGTTTAGCAACTGATATCTCTGATCATAAAAATTAATTATCTTTTTTAATTTATATCTAATTCATTAATTTTATCTTGTCAGGTATTTATGGATTCGGAAATAGTGCATCATATCAAAAGCCATTCAAGAAAGTTACTTATGGCTTAGAATTGTTCAAAGAAACGCTAGCAATGTTACATGATGAAAAGTTTAGTGATCAGGAACTGATAAATCGATTATTAGATATATTAACTGATCAAACAAGGTATCATCAAAATATTATCAGTGCTATTTCAATAATTTTATTATCTTGTATACTTTTAATGCTTAAAATGAATTACAACTTTTTGTAAAATTGTTTTCGCTTCAATACATCATAAAAATGCATATTTTTGCAGCAAGCTTTATAAATCTGTAAAAAAAATAAATTCGAATTCAAATTCTGATTTTAATTATTATAATAATTCAGTCATCATCCTGATGAACAACTAATATCTCAAAAAAGACAAAACGAGCAATACTGCAAACTTATGTCACAATTGTTTTACGAATTACCAGATTCTGTACGATATGGAACTCGGTTAATTTTTTACATTCGCATTATACAATTAATTTTTATTATCGAAAATTTAGCTCATTTTGCATTTTTCATATTTTTGTAAATATTTGCTATAATTTAAGATCCAAACTCTAATCTCTCCTTCAGATCTCATACTATTGTGCTGATAGATGGCGCTGGTCGTTGCACATATTTTGAACGTAGTCGAAGTCAACAAACACCTTCTAGCGATGTTACGTGGACTGATACTACGCATTGCTTTGATCTAGAAAATTTATAAAAATAAGTTATTGTTTTAATTTAAAAAATTAATAAAAAAAAGTAATTATATGATATCATTTTCGAAGTTTTTTAAATTGATACATATTAAAAAAATTTTGATATTGTAGGTGAAATTGTAAAATTAGGCTTTTGTAGTAATCTCTGACTATAATAATTTTTCATCTTTCATCGCAAAATTTTTATGAAGCTCAGTAAAATTGGTAGTTGAGGAGTTTTGTTGTTTTATTATCAGCACAAAAGAAATAAATTTCTGTTTTTTAAAAATTTAAATATAGCAAAAATGTATATTGTAGCAGTGAAATTTTTTATATTTGAAAATTTCTTTTTCATTATAGTAATTAAATTTTTGCATCTTTCACCTCATTGTTATAAATGCATGTCATAAATTATTTTGTGCTGAAATTAAAATTACAATATGAGTTTATTATTCGCAGAATGATTACAGTTACTTGAAAGTAACTGTAATCATTCTGCGAATAATAAATGTTTCAAACTATTTTTGGAGTGATTTTATTGATAGCATATTAAATTTAAAAATTACTTTTAAGTTAATTTAAAAAAAATCATTTGTGCTATTTTTTCAAAGTTCTGTTCACTTCTTTATTTGTAATAAATTAATTAAAATTTTTTTATAAATTAGTGGCAATTTTTTTAATTTGCTTGACTATTCATTCATTAAGAGAGTAAAATATTCAAATTTTCTTACTCAAAAATATTTTTCTTTGCGTATTTCAAATCTGAACAGAAGCATTTTTGTTTACTTTGCATTTATTTAAAATTTAAAGCATATTTTTGCATCATTTAAAGAAAAATTTTTAAGAAAAGTTAAAAAATGCGATAATTTTTTGCAAAAGTTTTGTGAATTGTTATTATTCTAAACTGAACCAAGAAATAAAAAAGTTAATTTTTATTAGATAAAAGTTTTGAAAAAAAAAGTCATCGCAATATTCCAAAAAATATAAAAATGTAATCGTAATATATGCCAAATCAAAATGTAAAACTATGAAAATAGCTAATTTAATAAATATATATTAATATGACAGTAAAACAAAATAATAGTAGTATTAAGAAAGATTGCTACCACAACAATATCAATTAATTGGAAATATAACTTAACACATGTGCTAAACAACTGTATAAAATCTGCAAAAAGTTAATCTACAGTAATTATTTCAACAACTGCTTTATTTATTATCTTATCAGTTTGTCTATGATTGCAGCAACTTATCAGTTGTAACAATTAGTTTTCACAAAAATACTGAAAAACAAAAGTAACATTGATGCCTTTCAAAATTCAAAAATAATAGTAAATATAACTTCAAAACGTAAAAATAAACCTTTCAGTAAATCAAAATTTTTTCAAATAAGTATACTTTTGAAACGTATTTTTCAACAAAGTATAGTTCTGGAGTGTAACGTTTTTGTTCCCATAAAATAACTGATAAAAGTTTAAAAAATGGCATATATATTATAAAAATTTTTATGAAATTACACGTAAAGTTGTGAGTTTTTACAATGCAACTTTTTACGTATTTAATGAACTGTCTGATATATTCTCGCTGGCTCGCAAAGTCATTTCGCTACTTTTTATGACAAATCGCAAAATTGTAATACTTGAAAGTTTAAAATCTTTCATTCATAACATATGCGCATCGTTTTAATCAAAGTTTACAAAATCCGGTTTTTCTTCAAAGTCATCCATTATTACACACGCATGCATGCATAAACGTACGTACGTATAAAATAGCATAAATTTCCTCGTTTGCGTACTATTTGCATTATCATCAAAGAGGATAGCACGTTGTGCTGTTATAATCAAAACTTTATCAGTGATAAGTTTTTTCCTCTTTCTCCAAGTGCACTTTATTTGTATATTTTAGTACAAATAATTTTAATAAATTTTTTTCATTAAAGAAATGATTTATTTTAACAATGACTTACGTACACGTCAATTTTATTACTGATATGTCTGTGTTTGTATAAATCATATATTTTCATCATTTTACATTAATTGGATGATTAAAAATGATTACTTACCATATATTAAATACAATAAATAATCATCTTTGTAGCGTTTACTGTGCTCTTACTTTAGATTTCCAATATTGCAAGCATAAATTCCACTTTTCAAACATGCGCATTTAAAAAATTTTTCCACTGAAATTATTTGAAATGCAGTGTTTTGTTCAATGCAACAAATTAGAACATATGAATATTTAACAAGAATGATAATTTTATTGAAGTGAAATTAATCGTACGTCATGAGATTATGTGCACTGCTACTTTCAAGGTGTGATGAATATTTCTTGGGCTATCACTTAATTATAATTTGAATTTTTGGAAAGACTGCTAATTTTAATTCTGTTAAAACATAATAATGAATAAACAGTAATACTATTTGTAGATTTTTCAATGTGTGTTACTTTCGTGTACATCAGTCAAAATCCAGATGCTAAATATAAACTGATTCTAATCAATAATCGTGATGAATTTCTCGATCGACCCACTAGTAATGCTACATGGGAAAATGGAATTCTTGCTGGTGGTGTTCATGCTAATTACTTTTTAATATTCACAGAAACTGTTACTTGAATTTAGATAACAATTTAGATGTTTGTTTCCAACTGATCAATTAATTAATTAACTGGATGCATAAAAATTAAAAGTACACTACATTTTTAATTAATAATAATTTAATCATTACAGATGTTATTAAAGCAGTAACTGAGACTGGTATTTTTTTTTGGCAGCTATAGATAGATTTTTCTCGATCCTGATATCCCATTACTCTACGATTGATTAAATAATTAAAAAGATTTCATGAATCTATATTCACTTTAAAATAGTTACAGTAAACTCCAAATGTTAACAGTCCTTAAGTACTCTAAAAACGGTTTTTATCGAAGGTTAAAGTTCATAAGGAAAGAAATGAAAAAGAATTAACAAATATATTTGTAAAATTACCGATGTTGCCTATTGATTATTTCTAACTTATTCCTGAAAAGCATTTATCAGGACGTGATGAAAAAGAAAATGAACGTGGAACGTGGTTTTGCATGGCCGCTGATGGCCGTATCAGTAATTTACTCACAATTACTGTACCACTCAATCATATGAAAAAAGATACTGTCACTAGAGGTTACTTTACTATACACCTCAAAGTTTTTATTTGAATCTTATTTATATTTTGCAGAATTTTAAATTTCTAATGAGCGAAAAACACAAAAACTCACATGTTTTCTTAAAATACTTGTTTTACTCTAACACTGTACCACAAAATCCACCAAGTTTGTTTTTTTAAAGTTTCTTAAATTACTGGATTTCACAGTTCAATACTACAAAAGATTTCAACGCCTTAAATTTAATTATCAAGAATAGTGATTGCAGTATACAGTAATAACTGGAACTATTCATAACACACCTGCAAATACAATTCTATTTATTGTAGTTGTCAATTATTTATATTTCAATATAATCTAAAAGTAGAATACTCGAAAAAAATTCAAGTTTCACTATCGTTATAGTGATAATGATGATAAGAAGATTTATATCTTTCAAAATCACTCATTTGTGCATATTAATTACCAATTAATGATTGATCACTCAAATGATAATAAATTTGCTGTATTAGAATCGCTTTTGAAGATAAAGAACAAATGAAGGTTTATTCTAACTCAATATGTAAGAGTGATTTTTAATTTCGATATTTCCAGGTGTATTGCCTATAAATTTTTTGAAGTCAAACAGAAATCCAGAAGAATTCTATAAATCACTGCTTCATACAGCAAACAAATACAACCCTTTCCAGATCATTTGTTTTCAAAGATAATATTTTCGTTCAAATTCTAAGTTTTAAATTTTGTCATTGACTTATGGAAAAATATATCTGATCAAACATATCAAGTATTTTAACTGTACTGATATCCAAATTCAAGCATGTATTATAATTAGAGTGTCCAAATTCTGAAAAATTTATTTTTTTTACGTAATTTATTTACTCTAAACCTGAAAGATGATAAGATGTTATCAGTATTGACTAAATTTATAATTTTTAGGAATGAATGTGATCAGTATGAAATGACTGGTTTGGTGCATCATTCGAACGAAGAAATTGAAATAATCAAATTTCCACCAGGTTCAACAATTCTTAAAACTTTCCTACCAGCTACCAATATTGAATAGTACTAGATTTAGAAAGTTTTTACAGTTATTTCTTCTTTTTCCACACTCAATATTATTTCTCTTGAATTAATTAGCGATAACTGAGGTAATTATGATTTTACAGGTATTTATGGCTTTGGCAATAGCCCACCATATGAACCATTTAAAAAAGTACAGTATGGTGTGGGAAAAATGAAGAAAATCGTTGAAGATATCGAAAATAAAAACTTCTCTGATACAGAAATCATAGAAAAACTACTTCAGCTAGCTACTGACAAATACCAGTAAGTTACTCATTATTTTGTATGAAAGTAAAATATATACGTGTATAGTATATAAAACTACGGTATTAAAATATTGCTTATATACTAATAATATATGATACCTAATACTAAAATCGAAGAATGTGATAAAAACACAACTAATTTTCTGAGACGGTATTTGTATTGTAATATGTGATAGTAAATTCTGTATTATACACTTACCAATTGTCAACAAATAAAATAACAAGTAATATAATTAAGACTGATATTAGAATAAGAATGATTTAATCCGGAAAAGTCATTTCATTCATACTGTATTTAAGTTTCTGTACCCCGATGTAGTGACTGCTGAAGATTATTATAAAGCAACTAGAAATTTGCAACAAACTACCAGTATTCAAAATAAATTAGAAATAAAGGAGAGATAAAAAATGACTTTTACTAATTTCAAGCAGCAATAATTAAAATTAAGTACAATGAGGGAGTTATTAGATGATTGAATATAATGAAAAGCCAAGAGATGTTTGGAAAATTAATTTAATATATAATTTATATATATGTAATTTTCTACTTTTCAGAGATGGTGTTCTTTTTGTAAATATATATTTCAGAAATAATTGAAATGTAAGTAATTGAACGGATTACTACCTTTTCTGTTTCTTCGCATGAGTAATACAAATAATCTAAAATGATCAAAAGCATGACCCGTACTTACTTTCTTCTGTGATTTTGTTAAATTATAGATCCTTTTAACAAAACAGCTACTCTTCAGGTGTTTTCCAGATGAACAACTTAGACAACGATGCGGTCGATCAAACGAAATATGCAAATATCGCACAGCTATTTTCGTCCAATATCCCGATGGAATTCGCTACGGTACAAGGTTTGTAATAGCATATTAAGTCACAACGTAGTATCAATTATCACTATTCTTTTCTGAAAACCGAGATTCAGCAACCCACTAACCCTTAAGTGCTCTGTCTGAGAACCCTCAAAGAGCCTTCGTGATTTAATTTAAATCATACAGCTTTAACCTCACTGCAAGCATAATTTTTGATAAATCCTTACAATCAAATCAACTTTAGATCACACACAATTACTATTGTGGACCGCAGTAATCGAGTTACATATTACGAGAAATCAATGAAAAGTGGAACTACAAAAGTAAACGAAGCAACTTGGACACATCAATTATTCCACTTCCATCTAACATAATATGCATTTAGCAAATTATTTTAGCAATACGAACTACTTCTGAATCCTAAATTTGACTAGTTTTCAGGCTCATTGCTTATTAAACATCACATATTAATTACCAAAAAAAAAAACAAATTCACTATAAACTTACATTATAAAAACCAGACACAAACTATTATTACACATACAACTATGAAAAATCTCCACTAACATGACAAAACATTTCTTTGGAAACAAAAATACAGCCCGCATTACTTAAAGTTTGTCATTACTTTTTTAAATACAACAAAATACCACTACGATTACAAACTATGACTATTAAAAATATCAACTTCGCTAATGAAAAACTTTACAGTACAATAAAAGCATTACGTTTTTAGAATTAACAACTTCCCAACTGCATAACTTTTTGGCAACTGATTTTACACATAAAATGAGACATGACATATTTACACTTTACAAAATGACAGAACTAACTACGAGATCATAAGATTTGGCATACAGTAAAAACAAAACAATCTAAAATATTCTACTTTTGCAACGAACAAGAATCTCTATCTTTTTTGCAAAAGCTTGAGAATATTTCTTATTTCTGGGTATGAAAAAAAGTCAGAGTCCTACAAAAAAAAATTCTAATTTTGAATTCCAAGTTAAGAAGATAACAAACTGAACAAATAAAAGCCAGATAAAACAGCTTAGTATAACAATTTAACAAAGTGAAGTTACATGACTTAGTATATCATTTGAGCAATATAAAATCTGATAAAAAAAGCTAAAATAGAACAAGACACTTGCAATAAGATAAGTAGCTTCGTTAATCTTTCTTCGTGCAGTGGGCCAGTGAATTTAAGGATCAAGTTTAATAGCGTTAAATTGTTGATAACTATCCATCTGAAAAAAAACAGTACAGTGAGATCTACCTTCACCTACTTCAAAGCAAAATTTTACTGTTGGGCTGTATTTAACCCATCCTTTATTCACTCTGCTAGCAGAAATAAAATAAACTACTCTTTCAAACAGAACAAAATAACTCAAATCTTTAAAACATTTTTTTGTCATGAAAACATTTGAATGACAAAGCCCGAAAAATATCTTACTTTACACTGTCCTTTTCAACAGTATCACTATATAAAAGGCCGCACTTTTTGAAGGAATGAAGCATTACTTTGGCGAATGGTTTGAGATCTGAAACAAGAAAATAATACAAGCCCACAAACAGAAATATCATTGATGCTTCGAAACGTTTAAGAAAATACCTTTATATATCAATTCTTAAATGATAAGAAAAATTAGAATACCAGTTTCTTTGAATTCGACTGTGCTCATCCCAAGAGTGTTAGTTTCGCTGTTAAATTTCGGCAATCGATGACGTGGACAAGGAAGTAAGTGAAAGAGTTGAGGTGTTGAATATATAAAATTGAAAACCTAAAGAAAAACAGTTTAGTAGTAATATTGCTGTTGGGGATACTAAACTATTATCGGAGAACTAAAAGATGAAATTTTTCTATATGAGTGCAGAAATTACTAAAATGCAAACTTGTAAGTAAAAATTTTTCATAAAGACTCCAAAACTTCAAGGAATATGAGTGAACAGTTCTATTTTGAAACACTTATAGTGACTTAAACAAAAAAAATGAACATTAACATTACCTGCGGAATCAGAAAAAGCATCATAGTTTTGCTAAATTTACCCAAAATTGATGCAGACGCAAGAGTCATTCCAGCCCAGTAACAAAAAGTATCACCAACAAAAACTTGTGCTGGATACCTGAAATGAATTTACACTGAAATAACAAAAAGGAGTCAAAGTTTTAAGAAATGCTTGAAAAACATATTTACCAAGTGAAATAAATATCAAGCAAAAAATTAAACACAGAGATGATAGGAAACTAAATGAAGAATCTTACCAGTTAAAATAAAGAAGAACAGATGTTGTAGACAAAAACGGTAGCAAAAAATACAAAGATATGGAATGACACAAAGAATCGGAAGGACGCAATATAATCAACTGCAAATAAAAATCATTATAGTACACAATTTTAGACTGAAATGATAAAAAGGAGTCAACGTTTCAAAAATGTCTGAAAACAATATTGATCAATTGAAAATTAATAATGGCATTCGGCTAATGTCGAAGGATATCTAAGTTATAGGAATAAATTAATTTTAAAGCTGTGATAATAAAATAGTGCTGCTGGTATTCCATTGTATACCGTGCTCAAGATGATACTGTATTGTAAATACAAAAGTATACATACTTCTATTACATTGTATGAGACTACTGAAGCTGCTATTATTATGGCTTGTCCAGCTTCTAAACCATTTATTCCTGCTAGAATATTGATTGTATTCGTACAAAACACGACCTGAAAGAAGAAAATCTAACTTTCATAATATCACTTGTAATAAAACATGCATGACAAACATCAAGTGCCTAACAATCTTTAAAAACATACCATCATCCCCATATAAATGTAATAAAAAATTCCAATGTCAATGCATTCTTCCACTGGAATTACTTTCCTAATTAAAGACGGTAATATGATAGTCGTTGGTGATCCTGAAATAAACACGAATATGATTGGTGTGCTATTTTATTGCGAAAACCAAATAATATAGAACTAATGACTACTGATTTTATTTCAGGAAATTTATAATGACTAGCAAAGCAAACATACCAGATAAATAATACACAAGTAACAATGGAAGCGATGAAAGTGTTGGGAATAAGAGTTTGTGCCTCCATCTCAAATCTAAAACATCGTCTGCGAAACCAAGTAGTACTGCTGAACAAATTGCTGTGAGTGCTGATAGAAACATCAGGAAATTTTCATGTGGGGCAGATGATCTACAAATTATTATATGGGTACTTTTGCACAACCTTTATAAATTTCAAAAACTTTATAATTTGAACGTTTATTTTGGCTGATTTCCATATTATTAACTGAATGAAAAATTTTAACTTACTCAAAATGTGACCACTCGTATACGGGAAACGGAAGGAATAAAAACATAACAATTAAATATACAGCTGCAGATATAACACCAATGGGTTCGGGTATCGGGCGATTATCGATCTAAAAAACAAAGTTCAGGGTCTTGTATGGAAAATGTAACTAACATACCTGGCATAAATTACACTGAGAAAAAATTTTACAAAATTTTTGAAGTCAGATAATCACAAATAATCCCTATAAATTATTGATTTATGAGTAGGCAAGTTGCCTTTTTATTCAAATACTTTCATAAATTGCTTATTAATTTAGTTCCAATCACATAGTTTGCTTCTTCTTCGAAATTTTAATACAAAGGAAAAACCCTAAGTGACTTAAACTTTTGGTTTGAAATAAAGTGCTAAAAGCATGCCTTGCATTGATCCCTTCCATACATTTGTCGTTTCACGAATACAGGAATATATTCCAAGATTATATAATATGAAACATAAGCACCCACACCACTTAATAAAATATTTACTAATATTGATAACATAGTGAAATCTGCAATGCAAAAAAACTACTGCAACTATTAAGTTTACAATTTAAGCACAAGTTTTTACCCTCATGATTTTAGTTACCACTTACGCCTTCTACTTTCAAGCGTGAAAATGGAAAATACATTAAGAGCAGTGAACTGTATGCCATAGTAACGTACTGTTCCAATAATAGTATTTCACGCGGCCCAATTTAAATAACTGGAAATATATTCCCCGTCATTTCTCTCCCGCCTTTTGCCATGTCACGAGGGAGTCACTTTGAATAACTTTGATACATTGGTCGGATTTATATTACTCACTCTTAGTTGTATGCTCAGCCTGCACTTCATGGATATCAGCTCAATTTTATCCGTATTGTTCCGTATAAGGTAGGGTTTATCCTTCCATTCTCTACCTGAATGTATGAAACGTTAAAGATGCGTGGAATACACAATTTTAATTCTAAAAGTTTCTTCGAAAAAGAAAACTTATAGATGCGTTGAATTCCTATAACTTTTTAGCAATAATCATCTCAAAAAATGGAATATTTTGTCAGCTGAATTTTAAGCTTCACAAAGTATAAAATTAAAATGGTAATAGTTATTTTGACAAGACAAATGACAACTTCAAAGTGTTACTATCTCTTCTATTTTTTCACTCGCCATTAGAAATAATTTGGAAGATAGTTTATGCTAAACGTTAAAAAGTCTTTGCTACGAACTTTTGAAGAGATAGTAGATTAATGGATGCTTTTGAAAGAGAAATTGCTATTACATATTCGTACGTAGAATGCCACGAATATATGTATTTTATTGCTTAAGTCTTGTCACTAAAAACTCTGTTGGAAGGAATTTCCACATTTAGTTCCATATTTGTAAGTGTGAAACTCTATAAATAATAATATGTAAGTGCTGGAAGCAGTATTTGGGAATTCAATTTTCACTCTTTATATTGATTGCCTAGCTTATATTTTATAAAGTCGTAGAATTGCGTGAAAAACATAGTTACGTGTTATTTCATGCTATAATTTGATGAGAAATATTAAAAAAATTTGCATATTCAGTTTTTTTAAAATTTGGTTACAATGAAAGTATATAATTTAATAGCAATCGGAATTGAATACAGACATTGTTTTTATCACTTTATTTATTGGTTGTTGCATGCTCGTAGTTGCAGATTTGTGTTGTGTTGTTTACGCTGGATATGATAGAAGATTGCAGCTGGAAGCGTGATGACAAATATTGTTACAACGGAAAGCGGTGAGAAATTCACTTTATTCTACACTATACGCAGTCCGTTTTCAAACTTCCACCCATGCCGTTTTACTATTTGTGAAGATATTGGGACTGGAGAACCTGAAAAAAGATGGTATTATTCTACAGAGCAGTACTACATGTTAGTTTTCCGCTTCTTTTCAATTTAATTCGACAGAATTTCTCGTTTGTTTAATTGTTGAAACTAGTTTTTTAGTACATGATCAAGTATTTGAATCAAAATTACGACTTCGAATTATTAATATTGTATAATAACGTAATTTCTAGATTAATTTACTTTTATAGGTTTCATAAAGCACTTTTTACTGGAGATACTGAAGCAGCGGAACAAATAGCAAGTGAACGGAATGCTCGAAAAATTAAGATGATTTCACGCAACATCAAAAATTTTGAACGAGAAGCGTTCGTTTAAATTTTGTTGCACGAATTATTTTGACGTTGTAGCAAAAAAAGAGTATATTGTAGAAAATCATATTAATAAAAGCTAAATTCTTCTGCTCGTGCTTTAGTCTTTTCTAGTGCAATTTTAATGCATTCTTCATTAACTTATTCACTTGTATATTATGGAATGGCTAATAAGGAGTTAAACAGCGTTCTTCAGAAACATTATCATCACTACAAAAATTAAAATTTAGTTTTAAACAGTGAAATTAAAATTTGCACTTTCTATTCATATTTTTTCAACATGTTAGATGGAGTAAAGTCAGTGGCGACGTGATGAGAAAAGGAAATTATGCCAAGTATACGCAAAATCCAGTATTGAGAAAGAAACTGTTTTACACTTATGGTAGTACACTTGTAGAATGTTCCCCTACAGATTTAGAATGGGGAATCGGTAAGATTTCATCGTTAATAATATTTTTACTTGATTATGAAACAGTTTTTCAGTGGTTTCATATAATATTATTTCAAGAATCTAAAAAGTTAGGTTTATTTTAGGTTTAGACATTAATGAACCAGATGCACTGAGTCCAACCAAATGGAGAGGAAAGAACAAACTTGGTCACATTTTGACGGAGATTCGTGAAGAACTTTTATTGAAACCGGAATATGCTCAAGAGGTTACGAAAGTTTTGATTCAGTTTCGTATTGCTTTTATTCTAAGAATAATTTCAGCTTTATATCATTATCAGGAACTTAGTTTTGAATTAAAAATAGTTAGTTTTGTAATGAACCATGTGGCAAAAGCACTTCAAAGACGGTTTTTTCCTTTGCATTTTACTGACCTGTATATTTTTTATAAGCATTACAGGTAAGTGATATCTTATCAATGTTAGAAAATTTCGAGAGCTTCAGTCGCCAGTTTTTTATCCCTCCAAAACATTCGACTCAACAGTTCAGTCATCCATCTGCTGGAGATAATAATAGAAATTACGAGGAAAAACGTAGTTTACCATCTCCTGCAGAAATCACCAATACTGATGAACCTACCAATAAATGTCACAGTTTATCATCATATCCATGTGCGGAGTTATCAGACAATGTCATTGAATCGGTAAATTTTCTTGTGGGCGTTGTCTGTACAATTTGAATTGGCAATTTTTTTCTTAATTCATTTGCAAGGCTCTGTTAAGTTAATGGCTGCACTTATGACGAATCTTTTTAAAGCATGCTATATCCAATTCAAGCGTCGAAAATGACAGCACAGTTCCAAATAAAGAAAGGCATATTCGAGTGACGAGATTGGATAGGAAACGTAACTACCATCGTTTATCGCATTATGATCGTGACTATAGTTGGCAGCACAGGTAGATCAAAATTTGCATCTTGAAAGTTTTCTGTTCAAACTACTTATGTTAGTTTTTTCATCTTGGCTCTTAATCCCCTTATGACTAAATATTAAAACAATATGTTCTGAAATGAACTTTAGAGATGTTTCAAGAGATCACAGAGAAAGTAGCTCTCAGTCTAGAAAAAAAAGAGAAGTCTCCAATAATCGTAAGTCTTGTCGTGGCTCGAAGTTTCGGTCTAATAAGTATCATTCGAATAGTGATTGTGACTCAAGCAGGTTAGTCAGTAATTTGTATTTTATTTTCCTAGTCTATGTAGAGAAATAAAGTAGTGAACAATTGTCTTACTACATTGCATTTGAAGGAAAAATATGGGGTTGTTCGCAGTTGCAGTTTATATCTTACTGATTTGGCACAATAATTTCATAATTATTAGGTCATTCAAAAGGCAACAAAAAAATGACGATACAGCTGTTCATATCAGTCGCTCTGATGAAAGTAGACATGTAAGTCCTTAATTATAAAATAATTTGTATTATTCAAATTTCTAAAAACACAAAATTGTTTGAAGACTAACCAGGTACTCTACTTTATGACCTTAATAGAGTTAACGGTACTCGTATTCAATAGCATAAAATTTATCTGTTGAGTACTTGTTGAAAAGGCAGCGGAATTATTAGTTTCGATAACTATATCAATGATTCAGTGAAAAACGGATAAATATTGGTATAACTATTTATCTCAATAAGCAAAAGTGGATGTAACATTAAATTCAAAATTTCAAGCAACATGACCGTGGTTCAAGTTTTTCTGATAGCGATCATAGTTCGATTTCGACAAAAGAAGCTAGTGTTGTTGGTGTGAAAAAAGCTCATTCGGATCCGTTCAAAAATTTGTTGGAAAGACTTCGCAGTAAGCGATGCGGCATGTGGGAGCACTGTAAGCTCTTGAAATGTTGAACAGAATTAATCTTTGATAAAACATAAGCTTATCAAAGAATAATTAATAATAATATTATAATAAAAATAGTATCTTGATTATTTGCTTCAGCTTAGATGTGATTGTACCAGATCCAAGTAGTTGGTTTATTTGTTTAAGAAATGGTTGATATAATTAGTTTTTTGTTAGGTACGGTAAGCGAATGTCAAAATATGAATCCAACCAAACGCAGTTATTGAATAATGTGGATTTGTCGATTTTATCGTAGTATATATTTTGTTGATTCTACTTTATCTAGCTCTTTCATTTTTGTTTCAATACATAGAACATTTTTCTTAAAACTACGCATTGTATATTCAACTACTGAATCTGTAAAAAGCACCAGTCTTGTTTTTGAAATATTCAAAGTCAAGCATGATATGTACCACCAAAAAAATGATATTCATAATCATGATATCACAGAAGCCAATACTTTAAATGATTAAACAGTGTTCTACATTCGTTTTATTCAAAAAATAATCGAAGTTCAGTAAGATTTAGAAATTCAAATATAAAATTACTTTTTTGCTTTCTGTCGGTCTAAATTCATGTTCGTAATTTTTTTTTTTCAAATTTTATCGTTAAAAAAAACTTGATATAAGCGAAATTCCATGTATTATGTGGCTGAAATGTGATTACAGACCTTTGGTAGTATATTTGCTTGATTTTGGTTGCTCGAGAATTCTTTTTCAATTAGCTTTTGAATGTTTTTGGCTCAAAAAAAATGTAGTTTTCATATAAATTTTAAAATGGGATTTAAAATATAGTTATCTGAATGTACATTTTCTGTCATTATTGTTGTTCGAAAAGTCATCACTATATGCTAGTATAAATCGAGGTATGTGAATTAAAAATATTGTCCAGAACCGTGCCTGCTGTAAATCTCCTAAACTTATGTTCGTAATTTTTTTAATAATTTCATTCATTTTTATTTTTGTTCGTTATACAATCATCCATGCGGGTAATTCCAGTTTTTTCAAGCTGTAGTGGGTCATATGATTTGTGATTTTAAAATTGTTAGTTCTTAATCATTCTTTTTAATATGCTCTATCCATTCATAGTCCTCACAATTATAGCATAATAATCAAATAAGCTATTGATCATAACTTTGATAATAATGATTGATACTTGATCTCACGATATTCTCAGGCTACTCGCTTTTCTCTTTATTTTTTTAAACTTTCATTTCAAAAAATCGTCACCTTGTGTTATTGTTTTTTCAAACAATTTATTTTTTGTGTATTGTGATTTTTGTAGAATAAATTATTTGTCTGGTGAGTAATGTCTTTTCGCATGTTTTTTGCTGTCATTCATTATAGCATCACTACTTGATTCTTCTTCTTTCGTGTCATCAGGGAAACGACTTTTACGTCCTTTGCTGGAATTAAAAAATAATGTGATAAGTTGAGATGAGGCATAAGTCGTTTATTTTTTGTATCCAATTGTGAGCAACTTTGTCAAAATTTTTTTGAAGAAACATCATTAAGGAACAGTGTTGCATTATTATGTGTAAACATCTGTGTAAATATTTGTACAAAGATGATGACAGAATAGCAAACCTGTCGCTGTATTGGAAGGTATTTGCGTAATGACGGACGAGATAATCAAGTTTTTTAAACAACGGTACATTCACATTGCCACATGATACGAAAAGTCTACGTTGTCCTTTCACTTGACATTCTTCCACAGGTAAACGTCTTAAATAGTATGTATTGGAACGGAGATTTTTGGAGTTTGAACAAAGAAGTTTCAGAGTCTGCTAATGCAAAACACTGCCTCATGTTGGTAAAAGTGATACTTCTGGAAAATAAATGAATAAATTGGGATATTTATTGAGGGAATTCTTGAAGGGTATGATAATAATGTGACTGCAAATAAGTTCTTGCAAATTTAGAAATTTGACTAATATTATTTAATGTAATATGTATTAAAATCCATAATAAGCCGTTTAGGGAAGGATTTGGTTGTTTCTACCTGCACTCCAGATCATTGTTAACAAAAATTATGAATAACGGAGCATAATGTTTCAATTTATCAAGATCACTAACATCTTCTGGCAGCTGAAATTAAACTTCGTAAGGAGAATAGTTGTTTTACTTTGTTATGTTGGTTTACTTCAAGTTTAATGATAAATCTTTAAGCCAAAATCAATCAAATAAGGTCACGAAGCTGGAATAATCAGCTTTTTGAAAACTTGCTAACCTCATGATAAAGTCGGAAACTTTGCGCAATTCTTGCGGTAGGAATTACTTTGGATAAAGGTTTTTGACCAAGGTAAAATCTAAATATATGCATAATATGGAAAATGCTTGCATTGGAATAGAAAATTGTTGCTACTTAATTATTATGCTAATTTTATGCATATTACTGAAATTGATCAAAAGGATTTAAAATTGAAGAGTTGAAGACTGACCTACAAAGAACTTCTAACTTTGATGCTTCTCTGCGAAAAATTTCTTCAACTTTATGATGAAACAATTCTTTCCATCGCATTAATGATTCACGGCTAACTTCAGTTGCTGTTTTCTGATTATGGATATTATCAGTATCTTGTGAATTTAAGACTTTATTTATAAATATTATATTGATTTAGTTTTAAAGAATATTGAAAGAACTTAATTCATTTTGGAGAGGAAAATAAATTTTAAAAATACATTTTGATATTTTGAGCAAAGAGTTATAAATCCTAAGTAGAAAGCAAATCTTGCGATCAAATTATTAATTAAATGAATTTGATATTTGAATTGAATAATGAAAAATAAACTGAATTCGCTGTCAAATTGTTTGAGTTTACATCAATACTGTCATTTAGATCATCAACAGTTTTGTCTTGTCTAAAATTAAAACTCTGAAAGCAGAAAAGTAAAATTCAGAAATAAAATCATTTTATCTCAGTAATAAAAAGATTATAAACTTTGCTCTATTATTAAGAATTAATTAATGTTTACTTCGCAAGAATAATAATGTTTTAGTTTACAAAATTGTTTTTCAATTTAAATTACTTTAAAAGATAAATTGAATATTCAATAGTGATTTTAAAATGCTATAAATTATGTAAATAAGTTACATTTAAAGTGCGATTTAAACTTTTTAATGCATTGAATTTCCAGGTTTTGTTATAAAAATAATGCAAATTTATTTATTTATACTTACTCAGATATCGGATTAGATGTTTTGGGTGATAGAACCGATTCAACCTTGAATATTACAATTTTTAGAGTCCAGCAAAGTTATAAAATGGTTTAATTTGATGGATGTTATCGATATATTGAATAAATTTATAAGCATAAGTTTTATCAAGTATCCTGCTTTATTTCAGAAATTTCACTCACATATACTATTTAAAATTATCTTACATTTGAAACTTGATGATTTCGACTAAAAAGCTCTAATACGGGCCATAACGTAGAATTACGTGTTCCATCAGCTGGTGGCTGAAAGCAGTGCTTTTTTTCTTGAATTATAGTAGCTTCAGCAATGAGATTAACATGATATAAAACTTCTGCACTGGAAAATAATTAGTTTTTGGAAAGTTAAAACTAGTCAATTACAATTTAACAATTAGAAATTGTTCCATTTAATTTAAAATATAATTCCAAAATGATCATTTTTATATTTTACAGTTGTAAATAAATTAGACATTAAAACAAAAAATTTGATTAACTAAATATTTTTTTCGCTTATGATTTAACTAAATTAAATACTAATTCATTATTACTAAGATCTAATTAATTACTAATTCTGTAAAAATAAATAATCAAAAAGTTATTGTGAATGTGTCAAGTTTGATCTAATTTTAAAAAGCTATTCTTACAGAATCGTAATATTCACTGCATTTAATTCCGTGCTTGCAACAAATAAGTAAAGGCTTTTTACTGATTGCTGGAAATTTTTTAAATTTATAATTTAAATTTATATAAAATTAGTAATATTAATTGATTTGTAATATATTTTGTTTAAAAATTTTCATAGCAAAAATTTGTTGTAAAAATAAGTGTTAAGTTCAAAAAGCTCAAAATTTTGTTGATAAATATAAGTTAATCTTACTTGGCTGACTTGATAATTGATATCTTTCTGTGCTACTCAAATCACTTTCATGAAGTGGTCTTCGACCAACTTCACTGGATGATACAGTTACCCCACGCTGCTCACGCCATTTGCTGATGACTACATTTTTCGTCATCTTTTACGTACGGAAACCTTAGCAGATGCTTTTTTTGTGTATTCCAGACTGTTTTAAGCTTAAATCATACATTTTTGCTTTAAACATCAAAGGCAAGCAATATTAATGCCAAAAATCTTCTTCAATTAAATTGTAATGAAATTTATTTCTCCAAACTGTGGCGAACTAAATTCAATTCACTAAAAATAATTAAAGTGTTAAATAAAGTTCTTTTTTGAATTCAATTAAATTAGTAATTAAGTTCACTTAATTTGTTTTACTTATCAATGTGGAAGTTTCTGACTTGTAATTTAAGAAAAACCCGTTTCACTCTTTCATGCACAAAAACCATTGCAACCAAACTAACCTCAAAAGTTTGAATGAATTAAATGATCAAAATTTGTTTTTTTGCATCCTTTTTATCCGCATTAATAATTTTGAATAAGTAAAAATTTTAATAATTTATTTGTCTTTGAGAAAAAAAATATATGAAATTATGAGCAGATTAATCTCATTGAGAACTGCTAAAAAAGTAGTACTATATTAATTTAAAATTATAGATTAAATATATATTTTTTAAATTAATTCGATTCAATTACTAATTAAATTAATTTGATTCAATTACTTCAATTACTAATTAAATTAATTCGATTCAGTTACTATTACTAACTAATTTTTTTTCTCTCTGAAATACTTTGACGCTTGGAAATATCACTTTGAGATATTGTAGTTTTATCGAGATCTTTCAGGAGAGAAATAGTTTGCCCATATTTTGGCATTTTTTGTTTACATTTAACACTTTGTAAATATTCAAGAATTAATTAGCCTCAAAAACATGCAAGATAATGAATATTAATAACGAAAAAGTAGAAAATAATTTTACAAAATTTTGTGCTTTTGAGTTTTTATGTTCTAATACTCTCCTTACTTTTGAAATTATTTTGCGCAATATTTTTCGCTCTGGGATATCCCAGTGGAATATTTTTCACCAAAAGATTACCACCAAATACTTTTGACTTTGTATCAGCCTTTTATTTCGTTAAGTCTTTGTATATTACGTGTTTTAGTCATTTTTATTTAACTTCAAATTTTTTAAATTTAAAATCTCAAAGTTATTTTTGCATTTACTTGATAAATTTACTAGTTAATAAAATTCAAATTTATTGAAATTCAAATGACTTGATTACATTTTTGAAATTCAAAAAATTTATTTTGAATATTTTGAATAAAAACTTTTGAGAACACTAAAATTTTTTTGCTTACTTTCGGATTTTCAAATATAAACTAAAATTTAAAGTAAGTTTTGTCAATATTTAAAGTTAATTTTTCACTAAAAACGTGATATATAGTGTTTAATATGTGTCTTGGTTCACTTTTGACAATAGGTAAATTTTCATAAATCAGTGACCTTTAAAGTATGCAAGCTAATACTGTTAATTTAAAAAAAGTATGGAACTGTATGAACTTATGCTTCTGTATTCTATCACTTGTCCTTATTTTTTAAAATCCTTTTGTGGAATATTTTTGTAACAAACTTACGTGAATATTAAAGTTGATTCCCAAAAGTAAACTACTTAGAATTCAGCTTTATATTTAGTTTCTTTGGTTCAACAAAAGTAAAAATTTCGCGTGCTTACTAAAAAACATTTTATTTTATCTACAAACGTGAAGCAATTGAAAGCGTTCAAACATGTGGCATAAACGAAATCTCTAAAACATATTTTTTGTGATTACTTGAAAATTGAATGCCATCTGTTCAATTAGCACACTTTTGTTATAAAATGCAAATTTAAAACTTTTAATAAAATAAAAATATATAGCTCAATTGTAGAACACTAGCATGATAAAGACTGGCATGACATCTAACTTAACTGCAAATTGAATGCACTAAAATATGAATAAAATTTGCATATTTAATATTCCACAAATTTTTAAATTAAGAAAGGTATAAATTAACATAAAAAGAATACAAATTTTTACAAATGTTTTTTTCAGAAATTCGCGCAATAAAAATTATTATTATTACTCAAAATAAATTAAATGAATTTTCAAATATTCAAAATTTTTTCAAATTTCATATAATTTTAAAACCTTTTCTTGTATTTAATAAAAATCAATGAAGAAATTTTCAGAATTATTTTCTGCTATTTGAGCAAAGCACAACAACGTAATGAAGCTAAAAAAGACACAAAACAGAATCAAAGTAATTAATTACTAAATTACTATACATTAATATGGAATTAGAAAAGAGAATCGAAAGTTGCAGTTATGAACAGTAGTTGAACGCAACAAAAGTAAACTAAAACAAAATAAAATAAAGCTATTTTGTGATATGAAAATTAGTCAAATTTATTGTGCCGAATTTGAAATGCTTGTTCGTTTCAAAGGATAAACTTGCATTGGTGCGCTTAATGGATCAGAAGTTAAAGAAGATTTTCTTAGTTCTGCAAGCTTAGCAGAAACCTTCTCCTTATTTGAAGATGCACTTTTTGTTGGAATCACAAAGTTTCTCTTGACAGGACCATTAGTTTTGTCTTCAGCTAGGAATACAGAAGGAACTAATGACTTTCGAATATTATTTAATGGCTGTTTTAGTTTTGTTGTGGTGCAAATGCTCGAAGCCATATCTGATGACCTTTGAACTGTTTCTCGTTTATCCACTTTATTTACCTTTATTTCGGTACCATTATGATTGTTCTGCTCATTTGAATGAGTAGATTTTACAGTTTCTTTTTTATCGTCCTTTTTACCGTTGAAATTTTGTTTTTTATTCTGAAATACAAAATTTTACAAAACTTGGAAATCTGAGAATACAATTCTGATTCAAATTTTTATTCAGTAGCACATTACTGTTTTATACTTAGTTCTAATTTTTTTTCGCCTATTTTGTTGCTTGAAGTTTACTTAGTTCAATCATTATTTAGCCTCAAATTATTCGTCCCTTAATTAATTAAAATTCGTTTCATGAGATAATTTCATAGTTGTTTTTAAATCAAACTGATTTTTTAATTTAAATCTTCTAATCTTCTAATCAGCCTAGCAATTATGTATTAATTCTCTCAACACAATTCTTATTCTCATGAAACGAATTTTAATTAATTAAGCTCCTAATCAATTTTTAATTAAAATTTCTTTAAATTAAATATATTCATCAAAACCAATAACAATTTTTACAAATTACCAATTTTCTAATAATTAAATTAGCTATTAACAAAGATTTACAGTTCAAAATTAAAATTAATTTTAGAATTAACTAAAATTAGAAAAAAACTTTCTCACAAAATAACGTATTAAGAGTAATATAACTCAGAAAATAGCATAACTAATTAAATAACTGACAACCTTTTCCGATGTTTCGTTTGTATTCATTTCCGATTCCGGAACTGCTTGTTCTAAGGAAGACTTATTCTTCAATGCCATCTTAGCTGCTTTAACTTTTCCCGTTGTTATATTTTGTGCCTTTGGAATATTGTTGCTAATTTGTTCACTTTGATTGAATACTTTTGTTTTCACACTATCTACTATAGGTAACGAATGTGTTGATGGTTTCATACGTATATTTGTACTATTATTATTATTGTTATTATTATTATTATTATTATTGCTATTGTTAACATTATTAATCTTATTATTTGTAGTCGTTGATGATGATATTTTCTCAGAGAGATTTGAAGATTTTTTATCATTATTATTAATTATTTTAGCTGGAGCGAGTGATTTTTTATCAGTTTCGTTTGTAGTTTTCTTATTTTGCTTTTGATTGTTGCATGGCTGATCAGTTTGCCCATTAGCTATTACTAAATTATTCATTTCTGATTTTCGAGCTTCAATAGCAGCTTGTCTTCTAAGTATTCTTCCTGAAGTAATAACTGATTAAAATTGCATCATTTTTGAAATAAAGTTTTCAACTTTTAAAATTTAGATTAATTGCTTTGAGTTTCAGTGAGCGCTTTTTAGCTAGTCTATATCTTAATTTTGAATAAGTAAATTATTGAAAAAAATTTTTTAATAATTTTAAAATCAAAATAAATCAATCAATCAATTAAAATAAATTTTAAAATTGAATTCAAAAAAGCTATGGTAATGTTTGAAAAGTTTACTAATTTCTTGATTTCTGATCATAGCATTTTCAATTTTGTGACGACCTTCTGGTAATCGAAGGTTTATAGAAACTTTAATTAAACCTTTGTTTTCAAAAACAGCGTCAATAATATCTTTTTCAGCGGTTGTAGCAAATGTTACACCCTAAAATAATACAATTTTATAATTTGCAATTTATTTTTTGGGTAAACTATTTAATATTTTGAATTTTGTATATCTCTTTAGAGAGTTTTTAATTCTTCTATCATTTCTAGCACAATTTTTCAAGAATTTCTCTGAAAGCTTGAAAAAAGATTTGTAATATTGTGAAAAAATAATACAAATCATAAATTAATAAATTACAAAAATGTATGATTTATATTATGTTTAAACGTGACTTACAAATATTAACCTGATTAACAGCTTTCACTTCTTCAAGTGTTTGATTTACTAAAGCTGATTTGAATAATCGTGCGAAGAATTGACCGCTAAGATAATTTGTTTCCAAATTGATAGATTTTAAAGTTGTGTTATTTTCTATCACATCAAATATCGGCTATAATTATTAATTTTAAATAATCTTTTATTTGATTTATTTCAATAATGTAATTTTATGATTACTCTTGACAGAAGCTAAATTTTATTACTACTTGAAAAGATTTGTTTTTATCATCAAAAATATTAAAATTGCTTAATAAATTCTCTTAAATAAACAAATTTTAAATGAAATTAAAACTTTAATAATGAAAAATTCAATAAATGAAGATGAATTAATAATATTCAATTTAAATTACTAATATTCAATTTCAAAATTAAGAAAATTTGTTTAAATTCAGCTAACCGTACCTCACAATCATTATCATATAAGCCCATATTAGCTAATGCAATTTTTTCCAAATTTGTATTATTTTTAATTGCTGATAAAAGTCGTTTTAGTTGTGGAATAGGCGTTCTCTGCAATTAAATTTTTATCAGTTGAAAAAGTTTTGTTTGAAACAAAAATTTTTTTCAGCAACTTTTTACAACACATTTTAATTCCATCATTCATTATTGTAAAATTACTTTTGGATCAGGTTGGTAGTGCACGTTGTTTTATTACCATATTCATTTTAGACAGGGTACTTTTATCACAAACAAAAAACTTACTTTCATGTTATTTAAATTGACCTGTTTTAATTTAGGGTCATCAAGTTGTAGTTGTTGTATTGACCAGTCAATATCAGTATCATTATCAGGTTCTGAAGGCCTAGTATGTTGAGGTAATGATGATTTTATGGGAGTATTATAAGTAATTCCATTTAAAATTTCTTCAGCTTCTTCCCAACTGATTATACGATGGTCACTCATCATTTCTATAAGTTTAAAAAATTAAAGTTCGACCTTACAAATGCAAAAGTTTTTAAAAATTTTAAAGTAAAAAGTGTATGTTAAATCTTGCGTAATGCAATTATTTGATAACTATTTGATAAAAAGATTAGTGTGTTCTGAGATGACTATAGCAGTGTATTTACAGGACTGATTTGAAATTAATTAAAAACTCAAAAATGAAAAAAGATGCTCAAAAATTTAAATATTTGAAACTTAGAACTGATTCAAAATCAGATACGTTGATAAACAATTTAGAATGAACTAGACTAGCTTGAATATTAAGAACTATTATCATTGTTATGACTGGCAAATAGTTGTAATTTAACGACAAAAACAAATATTGCATAAAAAATAACTAGAATTACAATCCCAGCTTACTTAATAATTCGTTTATTTCTTGATTTTGACCCTGTTCTCCAAGGGCTTGGATTGCATTCATAAGGTCAACATCGGTCATGACCTCATTCTGTTGTGTCATCGCCATATTTACAATTTCCAGAACTTTGATATTCTATATTAACTAATACAGTTAAGTCGTTTGTTCGCTCAATAAAATCAACATGGAAATTAAATGTGAAGTTAGTTCATCCACAGAAAATAAAATAAAAGTAAATTCAACAATTAGTAATTCAATTTTGAGAATTTGCGCATAAAAAATTTAAACTACTCAGTCAAGTCACTTTATTGCTCAAATAAATTTATTCAAAAATTAAAAAAAATTATTTGCATTAAATTTAGTACTTTATATTAAAAAATACAGTTAAAAAAACGCTTTGAAAATAGTATGAAAATGAACTACAGAAAAGCATTAAAAGATTTACTTTATTTTCATCTTCCTTGCAGTTATTTTATTTGTAATTTATTTTGTATTGTGCAAAAATTTAGTACAAAATCACATTGTATTAAAAGTAATTTGCAATAATAAACTTTTGTCAAAGCAAAATTATTAAAATGGA